CTTATCTTGGCCCAAACTTGATCAAAACAGAAACAAGGGGGGGTGCCAGTGGGAAACTCGTTTTGGGCTTAAGCTGAGAAACGGGTTGTGGCCCAACATTTCAACAAGTTTGTTTTAGGGTTAAATGATTTTTGTTTCATTTGGAGAACGCTTTAGGGTTTGACAGAGGCGTGCCGTTTGCACTCAATTCGTTCTTCATCTTTTCTTCTTTAATGTGAAGGTCACTGAGACGCAACCCTCCGCCTAGAGCCACCAGCTGCCTCCTTCGCCTTCTTTCTTCCCTCCTTGGTTCCACGAAACGAGATTAAGGTGACGTTTTCTGCCTTTTTAACGCATTTTTGAATTTCGAATTTTATGTGTCTTGCATGTCTTGATTATTGATTCTGATGAAGCGTTACTATTATTCTTGTTAGAGGCGCGTGAGAAAAAAAGTTATACCTTTTGTGGAATGGAGACTTTTGGGAGGTGGAGGAAGAGCTGGGTTGGAAGTTGCTTCAGGCGGCCAAAGGGGCGAGGGGAAGGCGCTGATGAACTAGCTTGCTTGGGTATCCACGGTACTCGGTGTTCTTTGTCTTCTTTATTGCTTAATCATGCATGCTGAAAGCCTCTTTGTCACTTCTTTTCCTTCTATATCTTTGTCTATGTTGCCTTGAGTTGCCTGACCATTGTATGATCTTGTCTTGTTAGCCCAATGATGAACCTAGGGTTCTGAGGGTTTATGTTGCTTTTCTGAGTATGCTTTTTCTCTTCCACCCTGTGCCTTCTCTGATATGCCTTGATGCCTTGGTATGCTTGTTAGGGTTGCCTAGTTCATTGTTTCACTTTCTTCTGGTTGCCTTGTATGCTAACCCAGTGATGAGCTCCCTGAGTTCTGAGGGTTCTTTGTGTTGGAAACTGGTTTAGGCTCGATTGGATTTTGCAGGGGCTTTGGTTGGAAGCTTGAAAGGTTTCAGGCTTATGGCTTTGTGTTGTAGGTTGGGATTTGTATGGTTATGGTTTTGCTATCTGCATATGCTGGTTTATTGGTGGCTTTGATACAGTTTTATAGGCAGGTCTTTGGTTTGGTACCAGTTTAGGCTTGTGGTATTTTGTTTATGTCATTTCTGGTTTTTGGAAGGGTTTCGACACAGGTAAGGTTTGAAAACTCAGGCAGGGTTTAGACTGGACAATTTTGCTTTGGTTCAAGGTTTGAATGTTTTGGCTTTAGCTTGCTGTTGCAGTTTTTGAATGGTAGGCACAGGTTTGAGTTTGATTGCAGGTTATACTGGTTTTGGCGTTTGATGTAGCATCTTATACTGGTTTTTGATGGTTAAAGGCTCATGCTTCAGTTTGTGGTCATGTAAACTGGTTTTGGACATCAGTTTTGGCTTATGCAGGTTTATGAGCTTGGTTAAAGGCTTGGGAGCTTATGTTCTGAGTTCTCTTTTGGTTTATGATTTTCTCCCCTTTACTACTGTGTTAGCAATTTTTGTTTTATATTTCTCTTTCTCAAGCCTAAAAGCCAGTAAGCCTGTTCTTTTCCCTCTTCTTCTCTCTCCAGTACAACTTAAAACAATAAAAAATGTTTGTGTTTGTACCTTTCTGAAAAAGCAAACAGCTGGGAAATGATGACTTGAAAACCTTGCTTGCATATGTAGTTTAGCTCTGCATGCTTTATCTCTTTTCTTCCAGATTTTGTGCTGCACTTTTGTGATACTTTGATATCTTTGACAGCTTTTTTGGCAGCTTGTGGCAAGTTTGAATTTGGAACTTAGCTGGACTTTGTGGTTTAATTTGGATTTGGACTTTGTAGTGCTGTCTTGCTTTGAACTATGCAGTTTTGACAATTTTGAAATGTGCAATTTTTGACTTTGTGCATTCATTTTTAACTTGCAAATATTTTTCATCCCTCTTTGTGAACCGGGAGAAATCCCGTGATTTGCAGAGAGGGTTAACTGATCCCGGCCATTTGCTTTTAATGATGAACCCAAACTTTAATTGTCTGCTTTTTAAATATTTATCTGCAGTTGACTTTTTCTTTTGTTTCTTATTCTTTGCAGATAAAATCAAATGAAGCAGAGGGAGCCAGGGATGAAAGATGAAGACTTAGGAAAACTTAGAAAAATTAGGATATTTTTATTTCAAATTTAATTATTTGTAAACATTTATTATTATGAATACCTTGCAAATACTGTATTCAAACAACAATTGTAACGAATATTTAAAAGATGAATAAAAATCCAATTCTTATCAGTTAATTCCTTTTCTCCTTTTCATTGTTTATTTATTATTTATAGTTCTTTAAATTAAAATAATTGAAAATAAATCCCAACTATTTAATCTTTAGAATAATAAATAATTAACTAAACATTATTTCAGCGTTGATCAATTAATAAACTTGGCGCTTCCAACATCCAAAGCAAAACAACAGTCAACCACAACAATTGCCCAGACGTATTTTCCTTTTTACTGATTTTTACCAAACACTGCAAATTCAATCCAAATGTATCCTTTCACTGATTTAATCACACAATGCGAACTCAATCCAAATGTTTCAATTCACATCTCAGCATAACTTGAAAAGCACTGTAGAATTTAAATCTTTCTGAGAACGCGCGCACAAAAACCCTAATTCCTGATCAAATGCCAAAGAAGCGTTCGCCTGATCAAAACTGAGCCAAAATCAACCAAACCTTAAACAAACTGTATGAACTGTTCCAGAGCCATGAAAACCAATGAAAACCCTAATTTTGTCTGACTGACGAGAAAAGTTTGTTTGACCGATTCTTGAGCCAATCTGAAAAATCAGGAAAAGCCTGAAGTTGTGATTTCTTGAGGAAAAATGCGAGGGCAAATTTTGGGGTACAACACAGCAAAATCGTAACAATCATCATCTTTCCTAATCTGGAAATAATTATCACATATTTCACGAATTAAAGTCCATATTGTATATGTTCCCTGCTTGTAACCCTAACCGGTAACCAACCTATGGATGTTAAGCATTGTCAACTGATCCATGTAGAGAATTGAAACTAAAGTACATACACCCCTCTGTAAGTCGTAACCCCATTATTCAACATTACAAATTCACCTCCATGGTGGAATACAACATTGAACAGTTGATTATTCTGAAATCATTTGGGAAAATATTAAAAAACTAACATTTAACTGTATGTATGAGTAAACGAACAAGTAGGTGAAAAAACTTACCTTTTTCAGCATCAACAGAAGCACCTTCTTCGTCGTGCTTCTTCGGTTGCCTTGAATGCTTCGATTGTTTCGGGTGCTTCTTCTCCTTCACTGAATGTTTCTTCCCCGTTATCAGCTTGATAAGTTTGTCTGATAGTGAACCCTAGCTTTTCAAGGGGGTGAATCAATATACGAAAGATGTTATAAGTAATGACCCTAAACCAGTCCAAGTGGCATACAATTACCTAGTCAGCAAACAGTCACAAGCCACGTTTGCATCTCAAAGGGAATCTTGAGCTATAAGGTTTTTTGTTTTGGAATCTATATTTGTTAAGGGGCGAAAATATTTTTTTTAAAAGGGGGATAAATCAAAACTCGCTACTATTGCGCGGGGGAGGAGAGGGTAAAGTGTATTTAACCTAATTTTAATTCAAAGTCGATTTTCCAGAAAACTGAATTTTTTACGTTACATTACGTAAATACCAGAAACGAGGAACACAAGGTCTAGAACACCAAGATTATTTAACTACATTTTATTTTGTTATAAAATATATCAATTGTTACATTTCACCATTATAATTAGAAATTTAATTATTGCATTCATTATTTAATTCATATCATATATTTACTTTAATATTTAATTTTTAATTATAAATTTACGTTATTCTTTATTAATAATAATTCAATTTAATTATATTCTAATTATATTATAACTATATTATAAATAAATATCTTTTCAAAATAAAAAAAAATTGGAATATTGAGTTATTTCGAATATGCATATCCGAAATCTCTCTGAAAATGAAAAATAAGAGTTTCTTAAAATATACATATCCGAAATAATTCAATATCTTAAATTCAAAGAATATTTTTGAGTTTTCAGTGGTGAAAATCACCACTATTATATATAAAGAAAATTCTCAAATCTAATATATATATATATATATATATATATATATATATATATATATATATATATATATATATATATATATATATATATATATATAAACACGCGCGCGTAAACCTTAAGTTATCGATAATTTTTATGCTTCATTTTACTCTTTTCTTAGACTCAATTATTGTCTTTATCATTTAAACGTTAATCTTGCAAGTCTATTTCTGCATAATCGCTCCAGAGACTTGCATTACCACGCCATGAGTTTATTACTTAAATAAAAAAATCCAACATTAATTAAAATAATTGTTAGCATAAAAAATACTAGAACAAACCAGTACATATACAACAAGCAGAAAAAAATTACAGAACTTATTCAGAACTCCTCAACCCAAATTTAATCACATTTTTTGTTCTAGTAAAACAACATTTATTAATTAAGAGATCAAATGAAAAAGTTAAGCTAATGTATTAAACGTCAATTAAACATTTAATTACTACTTAAATATTTAAACTTTATCTTATTCATTCACATATTCATTGGTTGTTTTTCTTATAATATTTCATATTACTATTAAAAAAAACATTTTATAATTAATTCTTTACTATTAAAAAACAATTTATTATTAATTATTTTTTTACTTCCATCTATTTTAATTTCTCTCTAACCAATACCAATCGGCAAAACAGACACACTCTTTTTATGTGAACCATGTACTATTTTTTATGGTAAAAAACACTTATTTTTTTTAACAAAGAATTATTTTTACTAAAAAGGTCCAACCTTTGGACTAGAGGAAGAAAATTACCCATCACAAGATTAGGTGTCTTCCCCTACAATATTCATGTAGGACAAAGGTCCTATATATATCAAACAAGGTAACCAATTCCAAGAGAGTGAAAACCTTGTGATTATTGGCAAGAAGAAAAACAAATGAATATGAAGAGTCTATTTCATTTTGTCTTTCTTTGCTCTCTTTCCGGTAAGAACAAAAACATCTTAAATCTCTCTAAGTTTTCATTATCAATGTCTCAATGCTTTAGTTTCTTCTCATTTAAAAAAAAAAAAATTCTTATCATGTTTTTGTTTTTGTTTTTGTTGTAGTTTCCATTTTAGTTTCTGGTCAACAATCCCTTGAGTTGCTTAACCTATGTGAAACAAATGAAGACATTGTTCAAGCTTCATCAAACAGTGAGTTTCCTATAGCTGTGTCTCTGAACAATGAAAACCTCATTCATGTCTCTAACAACATTTTACTAGCTGAAACTTGGCTTAGGTCAAATATTTTCCCATTTTACCCTTCTTCGAAAATCACCAACATTGTTGGAAAAACCTCAATTTTCTGTCAACAAGACCAAAACCTAAACCAAAACAACCTTATTTTGGTTCTGTCTGCTTTGAAAAACCTACATCATTCCCTCAAAAGATGGGGTTTAGAACAAGACATCAAAGTTTCCATTGCTCTTGATTTACATTGCTTTAACCCAAACACTGATTTGAAAATGGTTAGACCCATGACTGAGTTTCTCCAATCTGTTAACTCAACATTCTCCCTCATCCAAAATTCAGATAAAAATCCAAACTTTATCACTTCCCACTTAGAATCCATGAAAAAGCTTGGATTTTTCAACCTCAACAACATCATAAACACTGCTACCATTGTCCCAAAAGAGAGAAAAACCAAAACCAGAAAACTTTATGTCACCACAATCCCTGTTAAACCAACCCCATTCCCAGAAATTGCTCAACCCCCTTTGAATCTCCCTGTTGGGTCACCATCAAATCTACCAAATTCAGAACCTTTACCACCTTTAGCTCAAATAGTCTCATCCCCACCACCAATTTCTTCTCCTAGTTTCTCCCCTCAAGAACAACCCTCACCACTTCCACCACAGTTTCTTGCTCCTCCTGCTAACTCTCCTCATTATGGTTTCACTTTACCACCTTGCAATCCAGATTATACCGGTTCACCTTCACATTCACCTTCGCCTTATCCACAAACAGTTCCTGTTCAGAAACTTTGGTGTGTTGCAAAGCCTAGTGTTCCTGAAGAAACATTGCAACAAGCTTTGGATTATGCTTGTGGTGAAGGTGGTGCTGATTGTATGGAGATTACAAACTCACAAGGAAATTGTTTCTACCCTGATAATTTAGTTGCTCATGCTTCTTATGCTTTTAATAGTTACTGGCAGAAACATAAGAGAAATGGTGGAACATGTAACTTTGGAGGAACTGCTATGTTAATTCATTCTGATCCAAGTAAGTGTTGTGTATATATCTCTTCAAATTCATCACTCTCTTATGATTGAGATGAATTACTTTATATATTTTTGATTTTTTTTTGTGTGTGTGCAGGTTTCCTTCATTGTAGATTCATTCTGAGCTAGATTCATGTGGAAAAGAGTTGTCTGTGTTTTGATTATTTTAATGTAGAGAATCCTATGTTAAGGTTACTATGTTTTTTTGGTTGGTTTTGTTGTTAGTAGTTGGTTTATGTATAATCTACTATGTGGACCAATTTAAAGAATTTAAGTTATTGTAAGAAACTGTTTTTTTTTTTTCAAATAAAATTATCAACTTGTTTTAGTGGAAAAGTTTTCATTTAGAATGTACATTAGCTTGGTGTGCAATTCATTTATTAAGTGAAGTTTTAGTAGTAACAAGTAACAAGGAAACTTTGGGAATAATTGAATTGTGCTAAGCTTGTAAGGGCTTTAATTCGTTGCTTTAAAATGCCGTTAGTGTTTTGTTGATATTAGTGATATTCTTTCTTTTGTTTTATACAAGAAACATGTGTGCTTTATTGTTTCATGTTGTATTATTATCTTGCTTTCTTTTCTTTTTGTTATAACTGGTAACTTATTAGTTACAAGTTTATTTGCTATAAATTAGATTATCGACTGTCAATTTCTTTATAACCAAAAAGAGCTTAAAACTAAGTTTGGTAAAAAAAAAGCAATAACAAAAAAGTTGACTTACATCAGAAGAATTTATAAGCTAGTTTGATGAGTTGATAACCAATAAATTAACTGATTTAATTTGTAATATTTGATAAAGTTAGTTATTGTACTAACTTATAAATATGAATTGACATAATAAAAAAATATGTTTAGTTCATATTTTCATTATTATTAAACTTCATAGATATAGTTAAAAGTTAAAATTATAAGCTACTATACTTGAAATAAATAGGCTCCAATTTCTCTTCTAATAGTCTTCGATGAGTGGAACATCATAATCTAGGATCTAGGGTAACTACATATCAGTAAGACTCAACATGACAAGCTTAGAACTTGTAGCTCATATGTTAAGTTGATTACGAGATTGATTTATCTATTATGATATGTGATTGAACATTATCGAATGAATCAGCTTTTATTGATATTTAGAAGATGTATAATAGAATGTCTAAAGATATTTTGTGGAAAATTTTAGAGAAGAGGGGAGTTAATATTTCATATATTCAAGCTATCCAAGATATGTATGAAGGAGTATCTATTAGTGTGCAAATACAAGATGGAAAGGCAAATGATTTCTCCATTACAACATGTTTGCATCAAGGTTCAATCATAAATCCCTGCATTTTTACTTTAATTTTGATGTACTCACAAAATACATCCAAGAGCTAGCACCGAGATGTATATTTTTTGCAAATGATATTGTCCTACTTGGAGTGTCAAAAGAGGATTTGAATGAGGTTGAAGACTTGGAGACAAGTTTTAGAAACACATGACTTTCACATAAGCAGGAGTAAGACAGGGTATTGGAATGTAAGTTTAACAAAGGAAAAAGTGTTTCTAACCTAGAAGTGAAAGTTGAAGACCATGTCATTCCGCAAATTACGCAGTTTAAATGTCTTGGGTCTGTAATACAAAATAATGAAGAGATGGAAGAGAATGTAAGTCATCGAATTCAAGATGGATGGTTGAAATGGAGGAGGACTTCATGGGTTTTATGTGATATAAAGGTACTGATAAAGTTGAAGGGACAATTTTACCGGACTGACGTAATATTTATGATGTTGTACATGATAGAATGTTGGAAGATTAATAATCAACTCAAGAATAAAGTGTGTCAGAGATGAGAATGATGAGTTGGATGTGTGGTTAGACTAGACAAGATGAGTTTAGAATTGACAATATTAGAGCAAGTGTTAGGGGTAACACCTATAGTAGAAAAGATGGTGAAAATTATACTTAGGTGGTTTGGACATGTATAGAAAAGATCTATAGATTTTATGGTAACAAGAGTGGGTCAAACGGGAAGAAGTCAAACAACTAGAGGTAGAGGAAGACCTAAAAAAATTATAATAGAATTTATTAAGAAAGATCTCGAGATTAATGATTTGGATAGAAATTGGTCATGGATAGAACATTATGGTGAAATTTGATCCGTGTAGCTGATCCCACTTAGTGGGATAATGCTTAGTTGCTGTTGTTATTGTTGTATTAGTCTTATGACTTAAAATTTCAACAATCTCCCTTATAGCGGTGATTTGTCTACTTGATTCATGTTTATATTCAATTGAATTCAAGATTAACTCTAGCCCTTATAGTTCTCACTAGTTTATGTTTAAAGGGAAATTATCGTTTAGTGCACTAAAATCATATTGTAGTGTATTTAACCGACCTATTAAGCCCTTCAACCAAAAAGATGAGTTAGTCGTTAAGATTTTTGTTAAAAGCAAATCGGTTATTCTGAGTCTTCAATTAAAAATCCTATTATGTGAGATTTCAAGATTCTAATGTACATTATTCATATTCTTAAGGAACCATGATGGGGTCCTTAAATTTCTTAATCTCAGTTGAGAAAGGGTTCTTGTCAGCTTCCACTATTTTTGCCTCGCATACCTTAAACATGAGCTTCTGATGAAGAATTGAAGGCATATACTTACCGGTGTGAATCCTATCCCCATATAAGATTACAAATTAGGAAAAAAATTCATCTATTACAAAGAAGATAAGTATTACCTCTTTTTTACTTACTACAACATCAGTGGTAAGTACCTCAAGAGCGTTAGATGCCACGTCCATGAAGCTAGCCATTAACATATTGGTTGAATCAAGTTTTCCATGTTCTTTCCTAACATATTCAACATCATAAGGGGAATATTATTTATAAAACACCTTCATCCATAAAAACTCGATTAAACACCTTGTCATTAATTGAAGCCTTGATGAACAATACCTCCAAATATGTGATCATCTCCCAAGCGGGCTTCTAAAACAACAAGCCCTACGTTTATTTATCTTCGAATAAGGTAATCCACTTTGTATCTTCAAAAAAGAAATCCCATTCAAGCTCCCTTGGCTAGGAATCTATGTCCTAAAACTCAAGAGGGATTAATACCACAACTTGCAATTCAACCATGATGATATCATCATCCTTGTTGATCCATGAATCTACCAAGGGATATTCATCATATTACATATAATTTCCCCATATAAGACCATTTAACCCTAATAATCTAATTGGTATTATCATATTTTTGTATTCGCCTTTTTTAAGGGCCAACAGTCATTGTTCATCAACTATCAGATCTGGACCTACGAGACTTTGACTAGGTACTCCCTTGACTATTTCAGAGATAAATTCATGTGATATGTACACATTATTACTTTCCTCTTTAAGAGTTAAGGTTTTAAGCTTGCGAGAGTTATCAAGTTATTTTTCAGACTTGGCCATAAAGAACACCTTATCTACCGCATATATAACATCTAGTGATGATATATTATTTTATCCTATTTTAGGATTTTAGCAATGAGTTGCAAAACTTAATTAATCATCTAAACAGATCGGTTCTTATGTTGCCTTATTTTTACGTTATGGTGATAATGGCTTTGTGAGGCGTCTTGGGTCTCCCTTCTTGTTCATAACTCACTACCCTTCAGATCTATGAAGAAGGTGTCACCATTTTCTAAGTCATCATTTTACCTATTGTCTCTAGAGATTATCTCCAAATAAGCTAGCATTTCCTATGGTAACTCTAACTAACCTTCTTATACCTTTGAGCACATAGTTTTCCTCCATTTCAAGTAAGGTATGATACATGCCCTTTCAAACAACTTCTTAACCTTGTTCCTTAATGTTAAGGTAGGAATTCCAAGATGATTCAGAACCATGCATAACAGCTTGGGTTGAATATGAGAGTATAATGGTCTAAAAAGGGGGGGGGGGGGGGTGAGTAATGAAGGGGTAAAAGGTGCTAGTTGTATATGACTCAGTTGGATATGAGAATGTTGACGTTGTATACATAGATTGAATTTTAGTAACAACACATGTATGACCTTGGTTTTCTTGAACTACATGACTAGTTGGCGTGACAATACTACCACATAAATTGGCTCGTTTGGTATCCAACTCCTTGGCCTATAGTTCATATAATATCACTGAGTTATTAGGAGACCTGGTGCATTATGTCATGTATCCCAAAGTCTAAGTGTTATATAATGAAAGACATTGTCATTGGTTCCTCAGCTAGAACAACCATTGCATCCCCAGAAACATCAAAAAGAGGCATATAAACATTACATTGATTGTGGAGATTTATTTGATTATTGATATTATAACCTCATGGTAGATGATTAAACCACGTTGCGTAGGTTTTTCTATTGGTTCATAAAGGAGAGATGAAAGACAAAATAAATATATTAAATGACGACTACAAAATAAGGAGTAATGGATACATGAGGGGGGGGGGGGGGGGGGGGTTAAATAAAAAAGGGGTAAAAGGTACTAGTCGTACATGAATAAGTTAGATATGAGAATGTTAACGTCGTATACGTCGATTGACTTTTAGTAACAACACATGTATGACCTTGGTTTTCTTGAACTATATGACTAGTTGGCTTGACAATACTACCATATGAATTGGCTCGTTTGATATCCAACTCCCTGGCCTATAGTTCATACAATATCACTGAGTTATTACGAGACCTGGTGCATTATGTCATGTATCCCAAAGTCTAAGTGTTATATAATGAAATACATTGTCATTGGTTCCTCAGCTAGAACAACCATTTCATCCCCAGAAACATTGAAAAGAGGCATGAAAACATTACATTGATTGTGGAGATTTATTTGATTATTTATATTCTAACCTCATGGTAGATGATTAAACCACGTTGCATAGGTTTTTTTATTGGTGCACAAAGGAGAGATGAAAGACAAAAAGAATATATTAAATGACAGCTATAAAATAAGGAGTAATGGATACGCTGACCTATCTACTATTAGGCTATTTATACACAATAGTAAGGTATAATAAAATACTAAAATACCCTCTAATAGACTTAGTTAACAAACATTCCTAAAATATAAATTATTTCCAACACCATCCCTTAATTTATATTTACACAAAACTGACAACACCAATTTCATCCCTCAA